AATTGTCTTGTCTAACTGGAGTTGTGCTAGTAATGCTTATATAATATTTTACAGTATTATGTTTATTCCATCTAATCTGCGCTGGATCTTGAGGTGATATCCCGTTAATGTCCTTTCTTCATTCTGTTGGTGGGTTCTTTGAGAAAGATTCGTCATGTTTCGTTACATAGTAAAAGTAGGCGGGATACCAGAATTTCACCATTGCTCGTACACTTACAATCCCACGGTACTTATTGTGCAACATACCTCATTTTGATGTTGAAAACCTCAGGGCATTATCCAAAGGGCTGCTACCTCTCTTCCCCTACTCCCAAACCACTCGAAAAGACTTTCGTCTCGCCAATATTTTGAGCGAGCTCATACTGCGCAGACATTAACTTACAGACATACACTAATAAACATCTAAGCTTTCTCGAGGATTCGTATTAGGGCCTAGCTAGAGCATAATTAACGGGGCTAATCACTATACCGATCAGCGTAGCTTCGTTCAAAAGTTAAAGTTCAAAAGTCTTCGGGACTAGAAAATGCTCCTGTTAACATATAAAAAAGGAAGCCAGGAAACATGACAGCCCCTAAGTGTAAGTTAGAAGTGAACATGAATTTATCTGCAAAACCGACGCCAACTTGGAGTTTAAAAAATGGGGTCTGTAATAATAAGGACCAATAATTACTGTAGAATGACTATTATATCTTCTACCACCAAATTCCTAAACAAAAGAGAAACCAGCATTTATGTAATAGCGCAATTTACTTAAGTCACATATCAGTCGGAAACTGCTGTAACCACCTTGGGCAAAAATTTAATCACTTAACACTATATGGTACACCAAAGACTTAATTCATTTCATTTCTTTTAAAGAATATATTTAATATTATTCTTTTCAAAAACTGAATTTATTGATAACAATATTTGAAACAAGTTCGAGATTTACAAAGAGATATAAAATAAATTTAGACTTTGAAATTTTTAAAATTTGTGTGCCAGTTTACTATTTTGTATCAGAGAAAATCAAAATGTTTTACTTTAATTAAGAAGTTTGGGCTACAAATTATAAACAATCGCCTAACTTTCCGAATAAGTCCAGCAAATATTATTTATGTAGTTTTCCGTAAATGAGCTTCGTATATAAAAAATAATGTTATTCGGGGAAAAAATATAGTGCGAAACTGCATTATTTGGACAATCTACTAAAGAAAGCGTGCTATTATTTAAAAATGGTCCGTCTCCTTTTTCCTTGTTTTTGTTTTCGTATGTATCGATTGCATATTAAAAATAGGATTGAAATATATAAGAATTTAAAACTAATAATTTAGATTTTACTGTGATATAAAATATTAAAAATCCCTTTACTTTTTGCTGTGCTGAAATATACTTTTACACAGCAAACACGTACCGCGTAAAAATAAAATTCATTTTTGGGGGAAAAAGCTCGTCTACGCGTGAAGACAAAGTTATTAAGCGACATAAGAAAGTCTTGCAGACTTGTCACCAGACAGTATTCCACTTTCGATTTTATTCTTAAATTGCTCTAAACAGCTGAGCCATTACTAAAAATCAAAACAATGTATAGATTTACATCTAATAGAAGAACTCAATTGGTCTCATTACAAATATAATAATTTACTATCTTTCCAAAACCTTTATTATTCATGGCTAAATTTTAAAAATAAGTCGTAATAACAGTAATAATAAACAGGAGGCTCAATAACAGATAACAGTGATTATAAATGGCAATAAAATGCAGAAAATGAAAAATAAATAGAAATTGTAAATACAAAAATTAAATTAAAAACGCGGGAAAAGAAAGATATTAATTATGAAACGTAATGCATATATATGTAAAATAACTCGAAAAATTGTTCTAGCACATTTAGTTAACTCTGACTAATGAAACAAAAAATAAATCATTCTATATCTTACAATGATAAATCATTTCTATCAAGGAGAAAAAATATTGTAGCATTTATAAAAAAATCAATCCGAAATTACTAGTAAAAAAGGGGCAATTAGCTTGAAATTTTTATCACTAAATCTACATTATTACTAGTAAACAACATTTACCAGTGCAGTCCGTGTACACCCAGGTAATATGTTAGAAGTATTTTAATGAAGTAAAACTCTTATGCAAATTTTAAAGGTAATGAGTTTATATGTTTTCGTAATACAGTATTACCGTAAAACTTATAAAACGCAATTACGAAATCCTATGTTTTGAAAAATACGTTGCTGATGTTATTCTGACGAACTAAAAAATCAAATGGCAGCTTTAAGTCACGAAATTGTTTAAGTAGTTAATGTATCGAAATTGTGCTTTGGAGTAAAGAAAAAACAAAAATTTACTTTTTCTGATAATTCTGTAATATCCTTTTGAACCTGACCTTCCCCACTAGTGGCCAAATGGAACAGAACGATGAACATGTAGCTCTACAGAGTTCAAATCCTAGTAAACGAACCGATGGGCGTTTTCGTAGTTTTTCCCATGTTGACGAAGATAGGAGTCAGTTGTCCTTTAGAAATACTCCACGAAGGTATCGCTTACCTCAGAAAGATAGTCCTTGCCTGCTTTGCTATTATGAAATTAAAAAAAACTTTTATCCTGACGTAAAAAAACTAAAGAGAAAGGAAACTGAGGAACTTTTAATAAATTCAGAAGAGCTACAACTACGAAAAAAGCCATGAAAGTAATTGAACACACACATGTTAACAAACAGATGCTTTTTGAATTACAACAAATAGCACTTCCATACTGATGTAGAAAATTTTCTAGCCTCAGGTCTGTCGACATATGTTGCTATGGTAACAGTAATAGAGAAAATAAGTTCCGCATGAAGTTCGCAATCACTATAAGTAAATGAACAAACAGAAAATTTAAATAAGTTTTCAAGTTTGTCTCACAGTTTTCAAAAGGAAAAAATAAGGATGAATTCTGAAGAGAGAGAGAATCTATGAGACGTATGAAAAGAATTTAAAAAGAATTTTCTCTTTGATTTTATTTTGCATTATTACCATCATTTGTTGCTGCTATTACCTCGCAGTCGAATTGGGTTCTGAACTGTTTTTTATTTTGTATATATATATATATATATATATATATGTATGTGTGTGATGTATATAATGTGTGTAAGATATAAAAATATGAAGGAGATTTATTAACAAATTACTAACGTAATTGGAAAACCCCCTTTAAATTCCTAGTTTTAATTTAAATACAACCCCTTCAAAGGCCTGTACTGCGTCACTGACGCCACTTGTTCCCTGTAATAAACCCCAATACGAAGAACGTTCTTGCCCAATCATCATTTAAGAATCAAACAAAGCCTTCCGAACTTACATACGGGCCTTGCTCCTTAATACGCATCATTTTCTTCATCATTCTGCTGTCGCTTCACAAACACGTAATTAATCGCTTGGCTCTTTTCATATATTATTTTTAAAATGTGATGCATCTTGTATAAAACTGTGGGGCGCTTATAAAACCTCTAGTATTATACCAATTAAGAAGATATGTGCTATGAAATTCGTCGTGAAGCAAAAAAACAATGTTTTTACCATCAAGCTAGTTGTGCTTTTTCATCTACTACACAACAGTTTTAAGTTATCTTTTATGAGGCATCATAATTTGTGTGCGAGCTACAAACCTCTATCATCATCTCCACCACTACTGCCAATTAATTGGTGTTTTCTTATTTCTCTCATCGTACTGTCCAGAAATAATGCATGTATATGTAATAACTAGGAAAGCTTCATGGCTCAAATAGATACATAAAGAAACAGAAGCTTGTAGACTTGCGCGAATTCAATTACTTCCTTATTATTCATAATTGACTCACACTTTCCATTATGCTAAAGTAAGTCAAATGGGCGTTACAGCGCCTTGGTCTTAAAGACTTTTTACATCGGTACGAATGAACTGGTAAAATATATTTCTGAAGGCAGCGGTAGGAGCAGGCTCGAAGAGCGAGGAGTGATGCATTTCAGAAGAAAGTATGAGACAGAAAGTCAAAAAGACTTCGATTTTCAATAGAAATCTTATTCAGTAATTGGCTAAAAGGTATCTGCATAGCAGCTTTACACAAGATCTTACGATGCGGATTAATTTTGAAATGACATAATTTAGATTGATACGTTGATAGTTACTAATTTTAGGAAGGAGAGGGGAAAAATTGAAATTAACAGTAAAAGGATATACTTCCAGTTATAAGTTTTGAATAAAAGTCTATTTTTGGATTATTTATTCCTACATTTTCAATATGATTAGGAAATAAAATAAGACAAATTAATTGTAACCCGTAAATGGTTTTAATTGGTAGTTTTACCGAATTACCGTTGCTTAAAAGACGTTAGTAAATTTACCAATCTATTATTTTAATATATTTAGTGGAAGAACTTCAGAATAAAATTTCAGGATTTTATCCATGTAGGTGAATTTAGCTGTTATGGGTGGGGATAAACCATCCACATAGTTTCAGAAATGGTTCAGCCTCAGTTGATATCAAATCTACGTGGGAATTTACAGTTCGAATAAATACAGTTGCAATCAAATAAGAATAATGAAGAACATTCATTTAACTTATTTAATGGATATATTCATACTAATACATAAAGAAAAGAATCATTGAAAGACATAATTGCATATGCTTTATTTTCCGTTAGCGCGACGAGCCTGTAAGAATATCCCCAAAAGTGAAAAGTTAACAATTAATATTTTGCAAATTATGAAACTCTTACATGGAATTTTTATACGAAAGCAATAACTTCTTTTCTAAATTAATTAAAGGTCTTGCTTAGAGAAGGAAACGGAATAAATTTTGAAAATTACATAATTATAGTTCGTGCATGCTTCGTAAGATGATGAATGAGATAAATAGGATGAATATGAATAAATAGGGAGACGTACTCATATTCATCATATCTGAGTTAAAATGCTGCTCCATAGAGCCATTAGCGGAAGAAACTCAAGTCAACTTGAAAGCACTGAGAATTTAGAGAATATACTTACTGCATGGCTAATACAACCTCTTGTATACAATGCTTTAGGTGGAAAGCTTACCTATTAAATAGAGAAATGGGCAAACGGGTAACATTAGTTAAATAAAATATTTCTTAAATACATGTTAGCAGAAACATTTATTTCGCTAGTTAGAAATCGTATAAAAATATTAATGAATGAAAACAGTGAACCAGTCGCTCATCCATATTCACATTTCTTCATGCTATGCTTCTTTGCAGTTTCTTATCAAGTCACTTTTTCACATCAGAAAAAAGCACAAGAGTTAAAAAATTTTATTCAACTGTGTCTGTTGGCATATAATTTTTTATAAAGTCACAGTAAGCTTTTTTTATTTAGATTTATTCGGTATGCATTCGAATTCTAATCGTTGCAAATATTTAAGATTAAACTTAACCATTGATAGACTTTTATGCAATTTCATTTCCTTTTAAGTTTCTAGTATTATAGCACGATGTAAAGAGTTCAAAACAGTACTTGTAGATCAAACAGCACTTGTTTTTGTTGGAAATTGTCTTTTCTACTTGCCGCGGCGCTGCAAAAAATGACGCCACGAAGCTTTATCGCTTAAGCGACAGCGGCTGTTCCGATCACTCAGTACTATTATATTGTCCAGATATTGAAGTCTGTGTATGTATTAAACAAAGCATTTTGAAAGAATGAGCGTACCGAGGTTATCATCTGCATTCCTAAATTCTTATTAGGAAAAATAAAAATTCTAATACACAAGAATTCATGTATTCTTGCCTATTTATATACCGAAGCCAACAAGAAATTTCTGTTTATTATATATATTACATAGAGAAACTAAGGACAGTTTTGTTGTCTTATCGAGTGCAGTAAATACATACCTTATTTTTATGTCTTTTATCTGGCAGCTTTCCAACCACATACATTTAGGAAAATAGACACGGGATCTCATCATGATAAACAAATACCCAACGCCAACCGAAGGAAACAAATACTCATCGTTGTGGAGCTTTACGTTTGTTAACACATCATTTTACTACTTTACACGAGCTACTACTTTTTTATGCAAACTAGTTTATGGCTATAAGAATAAATTTCTTAAATTTAGCAGAAAGCTTCCAGCAGCAGCCACTGACTATCTCACCGTGACGTTAACTGCCATGTCAAAAGGTCCGGGTTCGAATCTTATCGATATTCCTAAGCGTTATACTGTAGTAGGTCTCAACCACAGGGGCTTATGAATCAACAAGGGAGCATAAGGTCAGTCTCTTATTTAGTTGTTAAGTGTTTATATTTCTTTTATGAGTATAAAAAACTACTTTTGTTCAACTTTTGATATTTATGAAAATACCTTTTCGTGTTTAATTTATAAAACACATTACAAAGTATTTTACATTTAAATAAATGTATGTATATTTTTTGAGTTAGAAGAAGAAGAAAAGAATGATGCTCTAGCAACGGTGAAAGAGATGCATGGGATAGAAAATGTTGAGAACCCCTTGGTATAGTATCTATGTGGCAAAAAGAGCTAGCCGAAAGTACTCTCGAGAGGTTTGTGGTAGGGAAAGGGAGTGGGAGACCCTTTAGGGCCGTCCTCCGCGTATTCTCTCTCAAAACTGGAGTGGAACTCCACTATTAGTGCGAAGGACTATACCTGTACTGTCAGTGGTGGAATTCTAGTATTCTAGTCACTTCTACCTGTAACTGCTATTTTTGCCCAGCTTCTAAATAATAGGAATCAGCTTTAGTCTTTGCTAGCCGTGTTTTCTGGGGTGAGTTGAAGGCCCGAGCCAAAACTTACCTGACAGTTTTTCTCGAATCTAATATTTTTGTATATTTAAGTTTGATTTTGCGTCCTGTTAACCTCATTAGATGCAGAGACTTTTGTTATTACCCGAACGGTGTGAATTGTTAGACTGAGGGTCTAATAAAAGGGTTTCGTTTGAACCTTCTCTGGAATTGGTATTATTCTGGTGATAAATTAAGATGAGGCGATAAATAGCCTGGCTGTCTTAAAGAAGCAGGAATTTAACATTTTAAATAATCAGGTTCCATATAGTGTGCTTTTTTACGTGCATATAAGTACGGTAAGCTATCAAACAGAAACCCCAGTACTACGCACTTTAGAAAAGTTAACATTTTCCATAGAATCTTAGTTATTTCTGTTTGTAAATATAAGCCATAGTTTTTAAAAGTATGGATTCATCAACCTCTTTTCGAGAATTCTTTTTGCTCTAGGCCCCCTTCGAGATTATTCAGTGCTTCTTTACCTTTGCAATACTGGTATGTTAGATATTGAAAAATATACATACAATGATTATAATGAATCCAACTAGTAAAATTTGACGAATCGATCTAACAACAACACTGATGAAGAGCTGCGTTTATTGCTCTGGAAAGTTTCAGTTTGTTGCTCAGGAATATACAGATTAAATTTGAAAAAAAAAATATATCCCGCTTTACCAAATCGTAGCATAGCAATGTGTGGAAGATAAAAAATGTATATCGGGAATATATACATTTCTTTTAAATCGTCAAGGTTGTTAATTAAATATGAAAGACAAATACCCTTTGCCGGGTGACAACACATTTATTTTAATCGCGGAAATTTTGGGACTAAATTTGAAACATTTGTTTCTCAATCATTTTTTTATCATTAGTAACTTATTATTTTATTTTATGTTACAAAAAGTGTCTACACATTTTCTGAACGATATCGAGAAGGAATGTTTTAAAAAAAGCAAATGTTTTAGAATACAAATTTCTAGCATGCCTATTATTTGAAATGAAAAATATCGTCTGCTCCTTTTAAATGTACTCTTCTTTCGAAATGTCACATGTAAGCAAGATGTGGATTGAAGAATATATTCTTACGATTTCAGTAGAGAAATATTCATATTCCATTATTGAAAAATACTGTAAAGTACATCGTATTAAAACTTCTAAGTACAAAATAAGCAACATTATTAATTGGAAGAGGGAAAAATCCATCAGTCATAACTTCTGCATGGAAAGGAGACTCCAAATGAATTTCCGGCCCACCAGCGGCCGAGCGGCAAAGTCGCTGAACCAGCGACTTTGATGTGTGTAATTAATGTAAATGACGTGTGTATTTGTGTGTTACCTTTATTTATTAAATATTATGTTATTTGCACTTAACCACAAAATTCAGTTCAATAGTAATGTCGCAAAATAATTTTAAAATGAGGATATCTTTAGAACTTCCTATGCAGAGTGCCTTCCACTCTTAATACTTCCACTTTTTAATATGGCTTTATAAACAAATTTTAAAAAGTATTCTTTCGAACCTTGAAAATACTATCTATATTTAGGTTCTTTTGGAAATGAATTCTACTGAAATCTTACCTTCAACAGCTTCAAATTTTAGCACTTTTCAACAAAACTTAACTACATATTAAAAAGAAACCAGTCAGTTTTTAACCGAAATATCCAGAACAGCTGTTCAATGTGTGGGCAAAATTATTTGAACATGAGAACATGAGATTAAGTATTAGAGTTATAATGCATTGTATAACTAACTAATAGAGAACCAAATTGTATTATTCAGAAGAATCCTTAAGCTGAACTCAAATTATGCAAGCACAAGATAAAGAGCGTAAACACTGTAAAATGTATAAGATGTGTGATGGGGAAATCAAGTAACAGGAGAGACTGGAAATACTTGTTTACTAAGAATGCCTGATTCTCAAATAAAAATGAAATTAAAATCAGGTAGTAGAATTTTGAAATCAGAAGGCACATTTAAAGTTTCATCTTAATATCAAAAACTAACAATACACAATTATTTTAAGAAATGTTGTTTCAGCATGAAAATGAATTCAAATTCGTCTTTTTTAAAAGTGTATAAATATATATATAGTAATTTAAGGCCCTTAATTTTGCATAATTTTAAAATATCTTATTTTTTGGTATTTGGCTTTTTTTTTTGTTGCAATTTCTGCATTTGTAAAGCTTTTGCTATTAGTAAGATTTCTTTATTACTACAGTGTGTTTAGTACAGTATGAACTTAGTGGTATTAGTATTTGCACAGCACATACGTAGAGTTATTAGTATCAGCTCACAATTCACTTAATATTATTAGTATTATCACAGTACGTATTTAGTGTTATTAGTGAAATATGTACTTAGTGTAATTAGTATTAATACAGTACGTACAGTAAATTTCTGTACGTATATTCTTTTGATTTTGTATGTATGCTTCTGTTTCTATTATGTATGTTTTGTAGTAATATTAGCTTTAGTACAGTATGTTAAATATATTTATGCATTATTAAAATTTCTGCATTGCAAATAATGCTAATGCAGTATTTGTATTATTTTTTTATTATTAAAAAGAAATTTTTGTTTAAGGCGTACAATATGGGTATGGATGTATGATTTATATGCCTCAGGAAATAATCTATCCTTAGAATAACACACGGAAGCCATTCACAGGTTCATAAAGATCAAATATCTATATGAGCTAACTCAGTAATAGACACAATGTTTTTTGATCTCCGTGTTTAAGACATGATGAAATGAAATTTGTACAGTAATTTAAATACACTTAAATGTAATAGATTTAAAACACAGCTGTTTTTAATCTGATGGAATATCTATATGAGCTAACTCAGTAATAGACACAATGTTTTTTGATCTCCGTGTTTAAGACATGATGAAATGAAATTTGTACAGTAATTTAAATACACTTAAATGTAATAGATTTAAAACACAGCTGTTTTTAATCTGATGGAATTTGATTAAGGAAGAGTTGTGACAGTTTTACGAAATGTTTGCATAAAATGTGGAAACAACCTCAACATTGATACCGAGACAAACTCTTATATTACGCAATAAAATGAATATTTTTCATGATGTAATGTAATGTAATATACGAGTGTGCTGCAACCCTCCTGGACAAATGGACAATGGTTTGCAAATGTAAAAAAGTATCCGATTAAATGTAAAGTCAAGAACATAAAAACTACAAGAGTTCATATGATTCAAAAGAAGATGTATTTTATCCTGAAGAAACAGAATTCATAATGGAATCTGCAAAATATTTTTGTTGGTTATACTTTATAATTCAAATATATTGACTGGTAAATATTATATTCCAGACTAACATTGCTCTCGAATAATTCTATCATTTTTAATTAATCATCAAATAATTTACTTCAATTTACATTCAAAATAAACAAACTAAGGAAACTTTTTAAATTTTCAGAGAAAGTTTGCCAATTGGTACAACACGTGAGAATAATAATGGCAACGTAGTCTCTTTCTCTTAATTATCAAACATTTCTTCGATACATAAATTAAAATACATATATATATAAATATATAATTATAATATATACATATATAATTATAAATTTGTATGCAAATGCAAAATTTCTTTGCGCAATAGCCATGTACTTGAAAAGTGTCAGAAAAAAGATACTAGAAACTATCTTTATCTCAGATTATAAATAATAATAGGTCAAGCGATATTTCCATTGTTAAATTTTCAACTGCGAAAACATGTTGTTCATAAATAAATATATTCTCAAACAAAGCTTTTATTCTTAGTGCAAAAATCCATAACTCAGTGTACTTTTATTTTGACAAATGCGAATAAAAGTTAATCAAATCTATATCTTTGAAAAAGATTTATACTACATTGTAGATAAATCAGCCTAATTTATAGATTTTTTAGTGCTTTATTCACGGTAATTTTTAATGGAAGGAAAGTAATGTAAATTCAGATTTCAAATAATTAAAATCTTGAAATTTTTGCAAAAACCATATTTGCAACAAATGCATAACTGAAATGTATTTTCGGGGCGCATAAAATTTCACCGGTTGTATACGGCAGTGGGCTGCTGAAATAAAGAACGTTAGCACCGTAATGCGTAATATAGTAACCGAAATATGGGGCGTAGCGCATTTTTAAAACTTCGGTATAATTATGAGAAATACTTTATTAATGCTATAAAAAATTATAGGAACTGGAAGTCAAATTGAAACATTTTTTAACCTATAGAGAGTTATAGTAGGAGAATTTGTACTAAGCTTGCGGAGTGCAAATTAAATTATACTATATAGTAAACATTTTAAATTTACGTAATATGAGGAAATTATAGTATTAGCGCCTTAATGTGTCAAAAAGCCATTCAGTAGTAACTACTTTGTAATGTATTAGGAGTTCTTAAATTTAGGTAAAATTATCTACTTTTCAGATACTGAAACTCGAGTTGTAAGACATATGAAAGATAACTAAGAATTTTGCTATACTGGACAGTCTGAAATTTAAATAAAGTTATTTAAATTTCTCTTTGTAATGCATAAGAAAAATTACAAGGAAGATAATAAATTTTGCTATGCAAAATGGTTTTTAAGTAAAATTATTTAAATATGAAGCAATAAATACAATTTAGTTGTAATGCATGGGAAATATGGTAAGGAGATGAACAGAATTATTCTTAAATAAGTAAAATTGATTAAAGTATTGAGCATTTGAATTTCAATACCTACGAAAGATGACGAGAAAATGAAACTTTATTTTACAGAGCAGTCAGTAAAATTCAGTAAAATCATCTAATTAAAGGGCAATTACTATGATTGATTTGTCATGAATAAGAAAAATGGCAACAGAATGAACAGTATAAGTCTTAAATTTAAATAAAAATGTTTAAATATGAAGTAGTGTACATCTGAATTATAATGCTTACAAAAGATGACTAGAAAGGTAAATTTTGTTTTACAGAATAGTCCTTAAATTTATGTAAGGTAAATAATGTTAAACGTTTTAGAGTTACAATAATGGAACGATGCTTAGTTATTGGGTCGCTCCCCTCTTTTGGGATCATGAGAATGTTATAAAAGAATCGTCGCAACTTTCTTTTGTGTACTGTGTATAGTTTCTAGTTAAAAGAAACGTTCCTCATTTTTAAATGCTAAATTCATTCATTTAAATTTAGTTTTTAAATCTCTTATTAACGAATGTAAAATAAAAAGACCTTTAGAAAACAGATGTGTCATTTTATACATGTTTAGTTGTAAATTTATGCATGCTTTCATAATATATATGCATATGTAATTTTTGCATATTGTAATTTTATGCATGTTTATTTGCTAACTGTAACTCAAACTGACGACTGTAAAATGGATAATTTTTAAAATGTATATTTTATTACAGTTATGATATTTTTAACTGCCAGTTATAAGTAATACTGCCGAAACGTAAAATACATATGCTTTTAAAAATGTACATTTTGTTTTTAGTTATTAACCCCTAATTTTGTTTGCATGATGGCAAGGGTTTCTAAATTAATTCTTTGGCAAGTCGTATCAACGAAACGTATGCTAATAAAACATGTGTGATTCATAAAAAATGGTACTCACCTTTAAAATATACGTCCAGAAATAATTAAAGACCTTATTCCTGTAGTAACTGTGGCTTCCACAAAGTTTCGTTATGACAGTTGCCAAATATAATACTTTTTTGTTTTGTGTTCCTGTATCAACAGGTGTCAGAATACTCCGGAAGAATTCAAGTATTTGGCAGTGTAACTCCAGTTCACGAAAGTTTTACTTCATTTGCTAAATTTATTTTTAAAGTTCATTTTATGATCTCTTTGCCTTCACTGTTTTACTAGTTTTTGGTAAATGACGTCTTGTTTGGAAACTTACTTCAAAACGAGATCTTCCTGAATATCTGAGCGATTTGTTAATGTTTCAGCTACTGAAAAATTTCGCCTTGTCATGAGTTAAACTTTTAATTACTTCTCTTTGGAGTTCTTATTGGTCAGATATGATAGTCATTAGTTTAACAAATTACGTTAAAAATGGAGCTCTGTAAAATCGCGTTTCTTAAAAGAATAAGTCCAGTTCAAAAATTTGTCACTACTTGTCAGATTTAATTTTTACCACTTTACTTTTATTGATGAACTACAGTTAATTATCTTTTTGCCAACAGCATCCGCATTAATTAAATAAGATTAGAACCGAAACTTCTGCAAAGATCTCATCGACATGGTATGCCATACTGCAGATATTCCTTGCTATTAATTTTTAACTACTTTCTTAGTCTTTTTGTTCTTTAGCCAATGATTAACTTTTACGATCAAGTATGTCCTTTTCGAAAAGTTAGATTATAATTGGAATTTTGTGGGAGTTTTTTTAACCATCCATTTGTTCATCAGCGGTGAAACATAACAACAGATGGTGGTTCCCTAGAGTTCCAGAACTTCAGCGAACGCCGCGCTGGGGAGATCCCGCAACGCAACGAACACGAACCACCAAAGAGCGAACGCAGGGTCGCTCGATGCAGAAGAAAAGCGATCTTCCACAGGGACGTAATTTTAACTGCCCTCAAGTTGGGAACTCGTCCACCAGGAGAAGGTTCCTCTCGCTCCTCGGGCTCCTCGTCACCGTGTGCGAGATTCCCCCGTTTGCGAGCCGACACCGCGTCGGGGCGCAGGCGCAACAGTTCGCTCTCGCGCTCGCCCCCACTTTGCTCGTTTTGGGCCAGAAAGCATCTGCGTCATCAGCATCTTCTCTTCTTTCCGAGCGCAGATTACTAGCCTCCCAGCGAAAATCACCCTCACCGATGGTTGTTTTTCTGTTTCCCGGTTGCGGTCGGGAATATCATAACAGCCATCTTTTGGGAAAACCGGCTCGCTGGGACTTTTAATGGCACTTCGGCAATCACCTAACATTGCAGTGCTGTTCGTGTAATAAATAATTTACTTTAGTTTTTGTAGATTAAAGAGCATAGGGATTCCCTGTTGCGGTCACTCTGTATCATAACTCGTACGTTTAATAGGTGGTTTGTTTTATTTTTGAAAAATAAATAATAAGAACATACCCTGTTGCTGTCAAAAAGTATTAAAACTATCATCACACAGGAATAGTACCTTGCTGTTATTTTTTATCAGACTAATCAGTTGTTTAATGCAACATCATCAAACTATTCGATAATCAGTCATGACTATAGCGCGATTGTGTTTGCGGGTAATCTATACTACTTCTTTTACATCAAAAGACAGTTCTAAAGGTCGGATGAGGGTCAGAAAATCCCTAAATGACTTAGCCTTTCCGACGCTTTTCAAGAGACTTTGGTAATTACTTAGGACAGCATTTTAGTACTGTTTGTGTGATAGATAATTTACCTTATTTTTCTTGGTTTATTTCGCAAAACAGCGTAGGAATGCCCGGGTTGTGGTCCAACTTAATATGACAGCCATCTTATGAAATATTCTGTTTGATGGGAGTTTTAAAATTGTCTTAAAAGTATTTGCAGAGCTCTGATGGAAATATTATTTTTTGTGAATTAAAGTATGGAATTGGAGGAATAGCTTTCTATAACAAAAAGGTTACTCACCAATATAACTTACCATTTGTAACATGAATCAAAACACACTGCCCTTGATTTAAATCTTAACAACGCTACAATATTTGTCCCTCACTGGATATTAAACTTAAAAAAAATCATTAAATAAAATAGAATGATAACAGCAGATTCAACAGGTAAACATGCTTGACATCATCTGACAATCAATGTAGGTTGTAGAATAATTACACTTGACATAGTTTGGTGCTACCGGAAATCTAAGGAAAGTTACCTTGGTAAAAATGGGATGAATGGCTTTTCAAACAGCATTTCATTGTAGCGCCCTGCTACGTTCTTGCTCCTTTAATTTCAACAAGCAATCTGTATACCATATCAATCCCTCTCTCACTGTATATATCAATTATAGCAATATCAATATATATTAGCACGCTCGAAAACCTGAAAGATGACAGCTCTTCCAGGAAACGGAAAATATCATTTATTAAGTGAGGCAGTAATTCGTGTACGGTAACAGTGAAACGTGTTTTGTGCCTAGATCGTAACTTAATGCTAGAACATATTATGTCACTTACTTAAAGTGCAAATAATGTGTCACATATTGTTTACAACTTTATGTACGCAAATAGCAGTCCGGCGTGTTTTAAATGAGGACTATTATTGGCTTCGTTGCTTATCTCTTTGCAGTTGTTGCAAGGAATTTTCTTTTTCCTTACCGTGTACATTCGTGATATAACTGAAACCAAGTTCCGTTGTCAATCCAGAGGTCTTAAGGTTGAATCCTGGCTAGGCATTTCTCATTCTTTATGTTTCTTCCTCTGAATAAACCTAATGACTCTGCAAGTCGTGTTCGAACTAAAATGGGGTTGACGATAATTCCTGCCCCTAGATTTGGTGACTGGATCTACTCCTCTAGGATGGCCTTCAAGTGCAGGAGAATGTAAGGACTTCCTTCTTTACCATATGCCTTCGTGGTAACTGAAAGCACGTCAAGCTGGTAGCTGGGACTTAAGAAGATCGAATCCCGGTGAGAGGACTGGTCATTTTCTGTCTTTCCTGATTCAAAATAAACCTAACGATTCTAGAACCACATTCTCCTGTTCAAAACGGAAACGTTAAAAAAAAAAAAAAAAAAAAAAAAAAAAAAAAAACGGAAACGCGCATGATGCAGAGATGAAATTAGTACTGTAGTGAGTTTCGTTGTTCCACGTAAGTAATTTTTGAAATTTTTGTATGATTGTCGAAACTGAATTTATGGCCGCTTGAATTCTTAGTGACTTTTCTGATTGGTACAGAATGCAAAGAATTTGTGATATGGTAAGATGAATATTTGTCAAATACTTGCATGTACATCCGAAACACAAAGAAAAAGCAAGTTTTAATTGCTTCTTTCGACTTGTAAATCAGTTTAACTCCTTCTTTTCCTTCTTGAAAGCGCTCATATATCCACAACGTTTGATAAAAATTAGAATTTGATAATTTTTTTCGCATTGATAATTTAAAGTTTTTCATATTAATTTGATATGTCAAAATTTTTATCACTGTTAAATTCAATAAAAATCAATATTTGTAAGTACATATGTTAGACGAAGAGTTACTTAACATCCAACATATCCATACTTACACATAAATATTCTTCAGAAAGTCTTTTTTTATAGAATGCCGAAGTGTACCTTCTAATTCAAAAGCGCAGGATATCCGAAAAAGTGTAAAATTATTGCTATTAGGAACGACCTTTAGTTTTTAAAAAGATTACCATAAATATTTCTTCACGTTCACAATAAATACTAAAAGAAAATTCCTCTAGGAAGGCATTGCTATTCTGAGTCAAATGGCCTTCTTGTGCTCTGCCGTGTTCAAACATTAAAAAAAGCTTTATAACTACCTAAGCGAAGCCAGTATAAAACATGAGGAACAGGAATGTCACTATTTACGGAAATAAATTATCAGATAATAACAAATATTCTGTGATTTGGTTCGTAGTTTCGTTGAATAGCTTGGAAAAGATAAGGCATAAAAATTTCTAATTACATTTTGAGTTCGCTTTCGAACTTTATTTTCGCTTGAGCTAGAATGTTCATTTAGCATTACAGATATTCCTAAACACTTAAGCTTTCGAAAAAAAAAACTCTAAAAACTTATTTGTGGACGTAAAGACTGTATAAGCATTACATAAATATTTGTGTTCTCGTTCACTTGGTTGCTTGAAAAATAGTTTTAAAGTAATTAAGAAAACACACTGATTTTTTTTGTTTTTTGGTAAGAAAGAAGACAATGGGAGACTACGAGGAGATAAATGTTCTGCATTTATTGTTTGATATTAATTTTAGTAATATACTGATATAATAAGATAATTTCATAATACTATGAAACTTCTTGGAAAGTTTTCTGAATCAGATTGTTGGATATTGTTACATACGTTTTAATTTAGTCATGTAAGTGCTATTTTCACTATACATGGATATATTATTGCATTTTTTATTTCAGTCCGCAGATTATTATACTGCTTCTTAAAAAATTATACGTTATTATATTGCACTATAAATGTACGGTGTACAACCATATTATACTCACCAGAAGACCCATTTGTCAAAAGTTCAGAAGACGTCCTAATCAGTAAGTAGTAACGAATAAAATGTGTACTTTTGGAGTATTATGTGCAAAGAAAGTGTTATCAGACTAAAATGTAATATCAGTCTACGTCATTAATCAGTTCCAGGTCCTTGGATGTATACCAAATAAAGCTTTTAAAATATAAAATAAAGGGAAAAAAATTAATTTACTTTTATTAAAAACGCTGGTATTATTATATTAACACTGTTTGATGCTAAATTGCAAAAGTAGTGGGATAAGTTCGTACCGTATTTACATGAAGAACTGCATGTGATGCTGTAAATAAATGTTATATTGCTATCCAGATCAAAAGCAATTTTTAACACGCTATAACACGTCTGATCTTTGGTAATCCGTTTTATCTCCTTCGCAATAATAGCCGATTTAATGGCATCTTTGTTTTTTACAATCGTAGATACCATCGTACATGGCATACGGTATGTAATAGCCAAGTCTCGGATTATGTGTCTTCATACTCTTCAACAATCTCTTTTTTACCCTCCTAAACGTTTGCTTCGTTTCTTGGCTCTTACTCTCATTATCGTTCCTAAAATTCATTCTTAATGCATCTACAAATATTTACTCGAAAAACCACAAAATAAATTAAAATTCAGCTTTATAGCGTGTGCTATTTACTGAATAATGGCGACATTACTGACGCTCATTGGTAGTTATGGCATTGTCTCAAAAGACATAAACAAGTGATCGCACTCGTGACTCATAGAATTCGAGTCATATTCCAAATAAATATCGTATATGAAACAAAAATTTCCGCGTTCGGGAATGACGCATACCAAATTAGACGTATTTCAAAACGAACATATACCGATGTTCCACTGTGTAATGGTTCTATATTTGATTCTTGTTAGTCAACTGAGTCGTTCTTGTTTAACCTTCTATTATAAAAAGGTGTTGAACATGTCCGTAGTCAAGTCGTCAGGGTCAAGGCCTGTCATTGGCCAAGGTCTTGAATACCTTATAGGTGAAATTTTTAACTTTTCTTTAAAACTTTTCTTTAAACTTTTTTTTTCCAAAGAGGATATTCTGTGATAAAGGATATTCGATAGCAATATTGCTAGCGCCCTGCCATTAGAGTGATACCTCCATTGGCAGGGCTGCTTACCAGTGTCTGAGAGTACTACTATAGTGCGCTTTCTACCAGAAGTTGAATCTTCTAATTACAATACCTCAAACAGGAGCCGAAATGACGGTTCGGGCAGGAGGAAGACCTTCCGAAGGATGTGGCCAATAACTATAATGAAGTGCACAGGTCAAGATGTAACACTTTGCTAAGGTAAAAAACAATTTAGTAAGTAACAATGAATGTATAATATAAATAAATTAAAATGGAATGGAATAAAATAAAATGTAGAATGAAGCCTGAAACAGTAACACAGCCGAAACTTTAAAAAAACTCAATAAAATAGACAATGTGTACAAGAAAATAATGATAATAATTATCAGTAACAGAAGCAGTACTATACATTGAAATATTGAAGAAAATGATAGTTACATATATATTGTATTTGTTGGTACATAC